TTTTTCATTGATTTCAGAGAGGAAGGGAGAGAGAGAGAGAGCGAGAGAGAGAGAGGGGAGAGAGAAAAATCAATGATGAGAGAGAATCATTGATCGGCTGCCTCCTACACACCTGACCCTAGGGATCAAGCTGCAACCCAGGTATGTGCCCTGACTGGGAATCGAACCGTGATCTCCTGGTTCATAGGTTGACGACAGTCAACCACTGAGCCACTCCGGCTGAGCCCCCAGGCTCCCTTCTTGACCCTCCCACAGCCTCTTGCAAGGACCTCTATCAGCATCTGCTTCTATTCTCTTTTCCACATTCCTGTCTCCTCCACGGGTAAAATGTGCCTGCATTCCAGAAGCATTAACGTGTGGAAAAGCCAGCCCCAATGACAGGACAGTGGTTCACAGAAGGTCCTGCCCGAGTTCTGCACGGTCAGCCCCACCTGGGGCTCAGGGATGCCTGAGGAGCCAGGTGGAGCTGAGCTATGATTCCTGCAATGGGCTTGGCGGCTCTGTTGGCAGGTGGAGGGCGCTGAGAGGAGACCTCATGAGTGCCTGCGGGGGGCACCAGAGGCGCCTTCCAGCTCACCTTCGCCCACTCTCCCTGCGCCCAGTCTTGACTGCTCCCTGTCTCCTCTCAGGAAGTCTGGAGGAGCGAGGCTTCCTGGCATGGAATGAAGCCCAGGGGTCGGAGGACTCTACGAGGATCTTGGAGATCTACGGCCTCCCCTGTGGGATTGGCACCAAGTGCTGCACTTCCTCCTGCACCCGGTTCCTCCCCTTCTGGCCCAGGCGGGAACCTGGTGGGAAAGGGGAGAAGGGAGTGAGTCAGCTCACACTCTGCTCCCAGGATTTCTCAGGAGAGCGCCCAGAGGGTGCCATAGAGACCCGGATGTGAGGCTGTCTCTCTGATGCACGTCCCCAAGCCCTCTCCACCCCACCCCAACCCAGAATGTGCTGGTCTCCCCGAGCAGCCATGTGACCACACTCTCCTGAGCACCCCCAGCGTCCCATACACTGTGGCAGCCGAATACGCAGTCGCAGTCCGTGAAGACCATGACAAGCGTGCTGTGACCCGGCACTCCGTCCGCGGACTGGCCTCAGGCTGCACCTTCCCTGGCTCCAGCCCTGCTGTCCGTCATGGAAACCAGTGTAGCCTGATGGCCATCCCCATCGACACTCCCGCAGTCTGCATGTTCTGAGGACATTTTGATGCCTTGGGAGAAGGGTGGAGCAGGGGACGGAGATGGGGCTGTTGGCTGAAAGAACAGGTCTCTTCTCAACGAGGCAGGTGGCCCTGCTGGCCCCTCCAGGCCCGCCCCTCTGTGCCCCTGCAGTTTGCAAACAGTCAGGTGCCAACAAAGCTGCAGCCCTGCAGCCCCCAGTGGGCGTCCTTGGGGCTGCCTCCTGCATCACAGGACGGTGAGCGGTGAGAGCTGGGCTGTGGAGCAGACAGATGAAACAGCCTTCGGTGGAGGGGAGCTACTGTTGCTAAGATGTGTAAACCCATCCCCATTCTCTCTGTACATTCAGTGGATTCGTCAGGGTTCTCTAAAGATAACAAGTCAATAGCATGTGTGTGTGTGTTCACATACATATATTCACATGCCTACATACATATATGTTCACACACATATATCCATGTGTTATCTATGTACTATATATGCACATATGTGCTGTACACACACACACACACACACAAGAGAGAAAGAGAGAGAGTCTTTAAGCCATGGGCTCCTGGATTGTGGAGGCTGACAGGTCCAAAATCTGCAGGGTAGACCCCAGTAGGCTGGGAGAGTTGCAGCCTGAGTCTCTGAGGGCTGTCATTGGCAGAATTCCTTCTTCCTTAAGTCTTTTCTTTTGGTCTAGTTGGTCCTTCAACTGATTAGACAAGGCCCACCACATTAGGGCAAGTAACCTGCTTTACTCAAAGTCTACTGATTTACATGTTCATTTCATCAAAAATACCATCATAGAAACATCTAGAATAATGTTTGACCGAACATCACTCCCAGGGTACATGCCCAGGGACATGATACACTCTCTGTCCAGGAGCCTCGCTGGAAAGCGCTGGGACCTGGTGTAGGCTCCGTTCAGGGGTCTTTATCACCAGAAGAAGCAGGTGTCGCTGGTCCCATCTGACTGGTGTCCTGTAGCACTCGTTTGGAGTCAGCACTATTCCGGGCTCCCAAAGCATGCAGGATGGACAGGTGGTCCCCAGAACTTTCCAGAACCCCGCAGAACAACAACCTGAACCCAGAGTGCACGGAAAGTACCCAGGATCCTGGCACCACCACAGACAGGTGCTGCCTGTCCTTCTCTGGGAAGTCCAGGGCCTGCGCCTCAGCGGTGCCCAGCACCACCCACCCAAAGGAGCAGAGGGGGAGCAGGTGTGTGCCCTGCAGGACAGCCCCTTCACCAAACAACCCTGAGAGACCAACACAGAGCCACGCTGCTCTTAATGCTTTATAATAATCAAAACGAAAACCATCAACATGCTTCTGGGAGAGTCCATCCAAAATATCCCAGAAGGCCGAGGCGGGTGCAACGGGCATTCAGACTTGGAAACTGCCCACTTCATTCATTGCCATCCCTCCCAGCCCTTCTGCACTACAGATCTTCATCATCAAAGGTCTCCAAGCACTGCAACATCAACAGCTCGTCGTCTATGGGAAGGTCTGCTTCCTGCAACACACAGGTGGAAGAGGATTGATATTTTTTTAAGGATTCCTGGCCCTGGGCGACAGCCAGATTGGGGGGTGAGGAGGCTCCTCCACCGCAGGCGTGCCCTGCTTCCTCAGTCTCTACCCACATCTTTTCAGCTGCATCTTCACCCACAGCTTATGGCCAGGAAGTAAGGGCAGTGGGGGGAAGGTCCCATGTCCATTTTACTCCTTGACTACAAAAAAGGCTTTTCCTGGATACTGCAGACTGGCTTCTTTCCTATCCTGGGGAATTCCAGGAGCCCAGAAGAGAGACAGGCGAAGTCTTAAAGCTTTATTCAAATGCTTATCAATAGAGGACTTTGAATTACACCATGACGCATCTACCAATGGAACACCATGTTTCAAAAAAAAAAAGAGAATGTAATCGCTCTCTATCTGTGGGACACACTAATTAATTTAAAAGGGCAAGAGCACCCTGGCTGGTGTAGCTCAATTGGTTGAGCATTGTCCCATGAAAAAAGTTGCTGGTTCCATTCCTGGGTCTTGGACTCCATCCTGGTGCGGGGCATGCAGGAGGCAGCCAATTAGTGTTTGATGTTCCTCTCACATCGCTGTTTCTCTCTCTTCCTCCCTCTCCCTTCCTCTCTCTCTAAAAAATAAATAAATAAAAGTCAAAAATGTTTTTTTAAAAAAGGACAAGATGCAACGCAAGGTGCACAGTAGACCGCCATTTGTGTTTGAAAGAATACATAAACATTGGGTGGCTGTTCAAGAAACTGGTCGTGGTGGTGGCCTTTGAGGCAGGGCTGGGTCGTAACCAAGGGGCGCTGGTAGGAAAGATACTGTTTACCTTGTGTGCCTTTTGGTAACTTGAAGTTGAACACGGGTGCGCTGTTAGGAGATCATTTTTTTTTTTTTCAAGAAGCAGCACCATGGCTGTTTGGTAAGTTCCTCATTCCCTTTACAAGGACCCCAGCCAACCTCTCCGAATCCCCCGTCACTTCTCCCTCTGAGAGTACGTCCCGGGTTTTTGCACGTGCTGCCTCTCCCCACCCCAGCAGGAAATGACCCCTGTCCTCTGTTAGCCCTGCTGGTCTGGGGTGGATCCCCTGGGGCCCTGGGCGGCATCCCCCCGGTAACCATCTCATGAATGGGGAACCTAGTCCCAGAGTGACAGCCAGATTGGGGGCTGAGCCTGCAGATGAAGCCTTTCCAGCTCAGGAGAAGGGTCCTCATTCCCGTGCTCTCCTGAGGGGCGGGTGCACGGGGAGCCAGCGTATTCGAGGGGGATCCGGTGGTCAGAGGACGATCACCCAGGCCCCTTGTTCAGGGTGAAGGCAACGGCAAAGGTTGAGAAAAGAGGGAGTTGGAGTATAGGGGATGCAAGGGGTCCGGACACTCAAGTCTGTCACACAAAGTGCTCGAATAATGTTCAAAATGTTCTAGTTCCTTAAGCCCCTGAAAAGGGCGTCTGAGGCATGTGAAGCTGCAGGTTTGCAAAAGCAACAGCTGTGAGAGGTGTTTTCAGGAATTGGGGTGCTGCAGTATGTGGACTAGTGTTCCCCCCAAGTTCTTGTCCACCTTATTTGGAAAGAGGGTCTTTGCAATTATGATGAGTTAAGGGTCTTGAGATGAACTCATCCTGGACTCTGGGTGGCCCTCAATCCCAATGACTGGCGTCCTTATAAGAAGATGAGAGGGACCGAGAGGCACAGAAGAAGGGCTTGTGAAGACCGGGGCAGCGGCTGAAGGGATGCAGCTGCCCGCCAGGAGCGCGAGGGCTGCGGCCGCCTTAAGCGAGGACCAGGCATGGCGGGATTCCCCCCTCCAGCCTCCAGAGACATGGCATGCCCTGCCTGCACTTTCACTTGCCTTCCGGCCTCCAGAATGAGGAGTTGTGCACCACCGAGCTGGTGCTAGTGTGTGGCACCAACAATGAAGTGTCCCTCGGCCACCTCCCACGGAGCCAACAGGGGGATGGATGGGCAGAGAATGGAAGTTCCCTCTTCACACCAGCAGCTCTGAAGGCCCCAGGCCTCCTGCACCAGAACCTCCAGGGCAAGCAGGTCAAACTCATGGCCCGTGGGCCACATGCCTTTGAGTTTGACATGCTTGCTCTGGAGTAACCTGTTCAAAATACAGATTCCTGGGATCCCACCTCGAAACACTGAGTGAGCACCATGGGGGTTGGGGCCCCGGGAACCCGCATTTCCAAGACGCTCTCAAGGTGATCCCAGCTTGAGCGCCTCTGCTTTGTGTGGCTACTCCCACCCCTGCTTGTTCTTCCTTTTCTGCCCTGAGTGCAGCAAGGAGGCAGGGAGAGCAAAGACTGTCCCACTAATGCGTTCTCACCAGGGCTCCGTGGGAAAAGGGCCACACGACTCCTCGGCCTGTTGAAAAGCTGTCCTGGTTATTTTTACACAGACACTCTCATTAGTACTGCTTACCTTTTAAGACAAACGATTGCAGTTTTTCTAAATTAGTACAGCAAAGCTATGGCTATGAAGCTTCATGGCTCTGGCATAAGCTCCTCCCCCCAAGAAAGCTTCCAGAATATACCTCCTAACCAAGACCTGCGCTACTTATGTCATTACAAGTTCCACTGCCAGAAATTAACATCTTCCCAAAGCTGAGAGCAAATATTGCCCGGGGAAACAGCTCTGCCTCTTGGCAAGGAGTCAAGGAGTCACAGGACATTTAGGAATTCCTGGGACGAGCCAGGCCTGGGACCTGGTCGCTACATCAAGGTCTGCCCTAAAGGGCATCCCTCTCTCTCCCCTCAGTTTCCCCAACGTCTTCCATCCCACAGGCTGCCTTAGGTTGAAGTCGAGCATCCATGGAGCAGGCCACAGAGAATGAGAGAGCGCCCCCACCTGGCCTTGTGGTGCGATCGGGTGAGATTTAGCTCTCCTCAAGGGACCTGGATCCTGCCAGTGGAGGGGAGAGGGGCAGAGGTCTCCCACTCCGAGCCATCCTACCTGCTTCTCTTGTGTGTGGTCACAGCAGAGGTCTTTAAAGAAGTCGATGATCTGCGTGTAGAGCTGAAACTTGTCTTCTGGGTCCTCTGGGTTGCAGCTGGCGAACAGAGAACTGAGGGCAGAGAAGGAGAGAAACAGCCAATGTTTTGAATCCTACTCTTTGACCTCTGCTCGTACCCCCTAAAAGCTCGGATGATGGTGTGAACCAAGCACCTTCAAACACCCAGCTGAGTCCCCGAAGAGCCAGGAGTCCTTCTTGGAAGGTTTGCATCGCCTCAGCTCAATGTCACGTCTGGCACCCGCTGGGAAAGTGAGACAATGGGGGGACTGGCTCCTGGGTCCTAATGTAGGGTCCTGAGCTATGGCCTCGGGAACAAAGGGACAAGATGTCCTCTGTCCCTAGGAGTCGACCTCTACAGCGACGCCCCACGGCTCTGGCCCACCTGCGGGCACATCGCACACTGGAGTTCAGTCCCTTCAGATGTCTCCACCCAGGTCTCAGGGGGAACACGGATGCAGAGAAAAGGCCTGTTTTGCAGAGTCCTTTCCCCCGGCCTTCCTGGGACAAGGAGAGAGGCCAACACCCAGGGACCCAGAGCAAAGGAGCTGGAGTCACGCCAGGACAGCTGGCATTTTGACCTCACCTTCCAGCCAGCTGGGAACCTTCTGGCAGCAGCCCCCACCTTTCCCGGGCAAAGCAGAAAAAAGATTTTTTATTGATTTCAGAGAGGAAAGGAGAGGGACATGGGGCCTGTTTCCATGTTGGCTCAGTTTCTCGGGGCCAGACCCCCCACCGCCTCTCAGTCAGACCGAGGCTGTAACCTGCCCGTGGCCACCTCACCCCGGGAAAACAGGGCAACATGGGCAATCTGGAGTTGATAACCTGTGTGTCAGCCCTGGGCCAGGATGGAAGAATTTTCTGTGCAGAAGAACCCCAGACAACACTGTCCCCAGGGCAATGGCACAGTCTTAGGACCAGCCCGCTTCGAATCACAGCAAAAAATGGATCCCCAAGAATTCCCACTGAATTATGCACCCCTCTGAAGGGCTGCAGGGGAGGCTCCGAAACATCCCAGCAGGGGTACCCCCCCAAACACACACATGCACACACTCACACATATACGTACATACATGCACACACAATACACACATGTACACACACACCATCTCCTACCCTGTCCTCACCTGGAGCTAGATGCCTTACTTTTATCCAGGAAACATGCCACATCGTAGGCATCTTCAAAAAGGAGCTGAAAGAAAGCACAGAACAGTCTGACCTTTGCCCTGGGCTGCTGCGGGATGAAGAACAAGACTGTCTCTCTTTCCCCCTCAGCTCCCAAGGGCGTGCCCATGAATGCTGGGCCCAATCAGACTCTCAGGGTCTCTGCTTGGTGACCTTCCCAGGAGGGGATATGAAGCTCTTGCCCGCCCAGAACAAACTGCCGACCCCAGAGGGAGGTGCTGGGGCCGGTGGTTTCCTCTTTCTAAAGAAGACAGTGTGAGGTGCAGCAGCCAGAGCTGAGCCTCAGTTTACCTGGAGGAGGGCTCATCTACACCTCTGCAGGTGCAGAGCCCATTTGAGCCATACCTCGGCTCTGGAGTTAGGCTGCAGGAGAGCCAACACCCAGCCCTGCCACTCAGTAAGCTGGGTGACCTCAGACAAGTGGCCTCATCTCTCAAATCCTCCTCTATAAGCAGCAATCACAGCAGTGCCTACTCATAGGGTTTTGCAAGGATTAAATAAGAGCTGTGTGAGGCACCAGGCACATCATGGCTCAAACATATTAGCTATTTTAAAAAATATATATATATTGATTTCAGAGAAGAAGGGAGAGGGAGAGGGAGATAGAAACATCAGTAGTGAGAGAGAATCATTGATTGGCTGCCTCCTGCATGGCCCCCTACTGGTGATTGAGCCCACAACCCAGGCATGTGCCCTTGACTGGAATTGAACCTGGGACCCTTCAGTCCGCAGGCTCTATCCACTGAGCCAAACTGGCTAGGGCCATATTAGCTATTATTGAATATTGTCTGCTTTATAAAAGAAATACATGTTTATCGTGAAAATAGAAACCAATAGAAAAAATAAAAATCACCAAGAAACAATCCCACCTGGAGAGGCCCATTGTTAACATAGTGACTTCTTTCCCTCCATCCTTCCCCTAGGCATATTATGGCATATATCACCAACTTGGGAATCCTGCTATTTAAACAGCTTTTGGTCCCGCTTCTCCTTAACTTGCTGAAGAATATTAAATATTCCACAGGAACATGATATACACTTAAGATTGCCAGATTTAGTAAATAAACATACAGGATACTTTGTTAAATTTGAATTTTAGATGAACTATTGCATGGAACCTTCTCACACGAACAATTTCGCTGCCGGGCTGTTTTATCCAGCTCCGGTCACACAGGCAGCCCCCAGAGGCGGGGGCGGGGGGGGGTTCTCCGCCCGGAGTTGTGTCTGCCCCTCAAGTCCTCAGACAATGTGCTTCCCCTGAACCGAACCCCTTGGGACTCTGGCCTTGTGGATGGACCCCTCCTGGTTTTCTAGACATTTCCTGTGCCCTCTTTTAGCTATCCCTTTGGTCATCTCCAACAGGATCTGGGGAGGGTCAGTGAGCTCCCAGAGGCCCTTCACCTCTGTGTGCCTCCCCCCGGGCCGGGGGCAGGGGCCCAGGACCTAAATCCCTACCCTCAGCCAGTTTGCCCACTGAAGTTGCAGGCCACACGCTGCCCCCACCAGGCAACCCCCTCACAAGCCAGCCTGAGAGGGGCATAGGCAGGCCCCACCGCCCTTCTGGAGCACCCAGCACCCCCCGACCCAGAGCCCAGGCCTGGCTCCGAACACAGCTGTTCCACAGCAGAACCACGCCAGATGGACCAGGAGCTGCAACTAGTTCAGAAGCCACAGGAACAGTGGCTCCGTCTCTACGTGGGACATAACTGCTCCTTGTTCTGCTGGCCTTGTCACCCAGCCCTCGGTTGGCCAAAGCCAACTTCACTGAATGGTAGCAATGCTCTTTGGGATGAGAACTGACACTCCTCTCAGAGACTGGGCCTGACTGGTCTAAATGCAATCGGACCTTGATTATGCAGGTCATTGGCTCAGTAATCTGTCAACCTGGCCAAATCTGGCCAATGAGAGAAAAGACGTTTGATGGGAATTTCTGGAAAAGTTCTTCCTTGATCCTTGAGAATCAGCCACAGGACATCTTTCTCTCTCTAACCGGATAGAGAGGAATGACAGCTCGATTGCTGTGGGAGTCAGAGAGGCAGGGAAACGGGAGGACAGGGAAGGTGAGAAACCAGCCTTAAGCTGAAGCAGAGCAGAGAGACAAACCGAGTCCATGGTCACATCACTGAGACGCTGACCAGACCCTGCCCTGCCTCGGGACCTCCCTGGTGTGAGCAGTCCATTTCTTCAGGGTTTAATGAGCCAGGAACTTGCAGATAAAAAGCCCAGCTGATACAACCATCTAGTGGTTCTCAACCTTCCTGATGTCGGGACCCTTTAATACAGTTCCTCATGTTGTGGTGACCCCCAATTTCATTGTTACAAATTGAACATAATTAAAGCAATGATGAGAGAGAATCATTGGTCAGCCGCCTCCATCATGCCCCACACTGGGCTAGGACTCGAGCCCGCAACCCGGGCATGTGCCCTGACCGGGAATTGAACTATGACCTCCTAGTTCAGTGATGGTGAACCTATGACACGCGGGTCAGAGGTGACACGCAAACTCATTTTTTTGGTTGATTTTTCTTTGTTAAATGGCATTTAAATATATAAAATAAATATCAAAAATATAAGTCTTTGTTTTACTATGGTTGCAAATATCAAAAAATTTCTATATGTGACACGGCACCAGAGTTAAGTTAGGGTTTTTCAGAATGCTGACACGCCGAGCTCAAAAGGTTCGCCATCACGGTCCTAGTTCGTAGGTTGATGCTCCACCACTGAGCCACTCGGACCAGGCTGAGGCTTCTCTTCTATAACCTCCACGGAAAGGCCGGGAAACAAACCGAAGAATAAGACATGCTATTCTGTGGGTGTGGGGATGGTGTCAGGAAAACAGACACTGAGCACGTGGGCCAGGTCTCAAACAGCTCCTCAGACTTGGCCTGGAGTGACCCCCTCCACCCCACCCCCAGGGACCGCTCACCTCCTCGGGGGTGGACTCGAGCGAGCAGCTGGCCCCTTGGCTCTCGACTCCACTGTCCTTCATGCTGTCCTCGGCGTAGGCTGGCTCCCGGGGGGCCCCCTCGAGGCCCGCCAGGCCACCGTGCTTCTGCTCCAAGGCCTGCAGGAGGCTGGCCTTCCTCTCCTCGGACAGGGTCTGCCACAGGTGGGAGATGGCCGCAGAGACCACGGGCAGGGCCACGTCCCGGGAGGAGACAATCCCGTTCCTGGTCAGGAGGTCCATTGTCTGCTTGTAGAAGCTGAGGTACCTGGAGTGGAAACGACAGCAGCTCCCTGACCTGAAGGGCCCCCGCCCCAGGCCGTCTCCTCGGGACCCCGTGTGGCCCCCTCTCTGTGCTGTGCCAGGGGCTTGGCCCTGCTAGTCTCTGGCGGCCCTGAGCCTTGGAGAGCAGATGTCACCTCCGGGGCCACGGAGACAGATTTCTGCTTCCCAGCCCTTCCTCACATCCTCCCAGACCCTGTGCCTTATAAACCAGACGGTGAGAGGCGTGGCTGGCGCAGCTCTCACCCCACAGGAAAACTGCTTAAAACTCTGAGCCCATGGATGTGCAGACGTGATGTGACACCGCTTAGACTTGAGGCCTGAGAGTCAGGCTCAGTTGTGGACAGAGCCTCCCGTCTATGGAGCCAACGCCCCAGAAGCTGATGTGGCTGTCAAGGGACTCAGTCCATGGAGGGCGGGGAGTGGCAGTGGGAGTCTAAGCCAGCCATTCTCATCTTTCTTACTATAATGCTGCCCAAAACAGACTTTTGGGGGGTGTGTGTGGGAGCGGGCTCTAGCCCTTATAATCACCATCAACACCCCCCCTCCCCTCCTTCCAAAGGCACCCCTGCCGGGATCCGGTTCATCCTTGCTATTTCAAGGGACCTGGCATATATGGCATACTGTTCTTAATATGTTTGCTCACCTTCTTGGCACTATGTGTTTTAACCAAGGTCACCTCTCTGAGAAAGGTTGTTTCCCCAGGTAGGGATTTTCCCCTGAAGTTAGGGAGGGAATAAAACCCCTTAACTAAGTGCCAGGCGGGTAATTAATCACTTTAACTAAGAAGAATCATGCTTTGGACAGAACCTGGCTGGAGAACCTAGAGAGGGAACATGGCTACAGAACCTGGCTGGAGAACCTGGAGAACCTAGCAAGAGAACATGGACACAGAACCTGGCTGGAGATCTTAACCAGAACTTCGCTGGAGATCCTGACCAGAACTTGGCTAGAGATCCTGGCTAGGCTGCTGATCAACTGAACACTCTCTGTGTCATTCCTTCTTCGCCGACTCCGTCCACACCTTTGGGAACCCCTGGACCTGCTGGGGTTGGACCCCAGCACACCCCAAACACAGTCTAAGTAAACACAGTTATGTGTTATGCAAATGTAACTTCAAGACTATTTCTTTAGCTTTTCTGCCAACCCATCCCCCAGCCCCTCCTGTATGGAAATTCTGAGCATCCACAGCTCAGGGCCTGGCCTGAGCGCTCGCTGAGGCTGCAGCGCTGCCCAGCTGAGCCTCGCCCCTTCCCCAACAGGAGCTCCTGCTGTGCACAGAGCCGCCTCGCTCAGCTGTTCGCACCGTTCAAATTCCATGAGGTCGTGTGGCAAAGTGACTGGGGAGTGTGAGAGCTCCACTTTTTCCTCCTCCTCCTCTTCCTCCTCTTCCTCCTCTTCTTGGTCTTCCTCCTCCTCCTCCTCCTCCTCCTCTTCCTCCTCTTCGTCTTCCTCCTCAGCATCCTTTCCGAATTCCTCAAATGGGTACAAGTTGTCAAAGTCTTCTGGATGAACCTTATTTGGGAGCAGGCTGGTGAGAAAACAGAAACAAGATAACTACAGATTAATGTCCCTCGTGAACATTGACACCAAAATTCTTAACAGTCTTAGCAGATATATATGATATATTATATATGATATACATCATGTAGGTCATATATTATAACACATGCGCGTGTGTGTTAATATATTATGGCCAAGTGGGGTTTATTCTATGAATGTGAGACAGTTGTTTTAAACTTTGAAAATCTATCCATGTAACTCACCATATCAACAGACTAAAACTCTTATCAATATTTGATTTTAAAATAGTATGATTTTTACAATCTCACTAGATGCAGAAAAAGCACTTGGCAAAAGTCAACATCCATTCATGATCCAAACTCTCAGAAGTCCACACTGGCTTTTCTTGGCTCCTGTGGAGCTTGGGAATCAGGCTGAGCTCTGGATTTTCCTTGTTTTCATCTGCACCCGCCAATAAGGCCACTAACTGAGTTTGTAAAAGCTATAATACAAAATAAATACTTGATCTCATCTTTCCATAAAATAATGTGCAAAAAAAATTTTTTAATGGAAGGCTATGCTTTGAAATTAACATTGGTTTTTCTTGAGGTGAGACAATATGTATTTTAATTTCCTTTTTAGGGCTTTTCTGTACTCTTGATATTTTCTGTAATAAGCAGAGATTTTTATCATCAGAAAACAAAATCCAAAGTATGTTATAAGGTAAAATAGGAAAGAATTCTCCCCAGCACAAGAGTGTTCTAACTGGTGAGCAGCCCTCCTCCGCTTTCCCATGCTGCAGCGGAAAGCAGTTTCCGTGACAGCGGAAGGCGACACCAGCAGGCCCCGGTGCTCCCAGGGCCTTACCTGTGGTTTCTGGAGAACATGCTGGCATAGTTTTCCTTGACCTCCTCTAAGCTGTTTGCATTTCCATCCTGCAGTTTGAAGGATTCTGTTGGGGAGTTGAAGACAAGGGGGAAAGCTGGGCCTTTGTTGAGTCTCTCCTGTCTTTCCAGGGGGATTATGGGGGTCCCTGAGCCCAGCCGGGGTCGGTGTTAGGGGGTCAAGAGCCCAGCTACACCCCTCCTTCCAGATGTGAAGAGAAAGGGCTTCTTGGACTGGCCCGTTTCACTCAAGGCATCGAAAGTATCCCTTTCAGAGTTCAGCTTCCACCAGCTCATTAAACTCAAGTTCCCAGCAGCCATCTCTCTTGGTCCCAAACCAAGCGCCAAGGAAGGGAGCCAGGTTCCCACAAACACTGGCCCACGTCTCCTCTGGCCTCTCAAGATGAGACCAGGTGCCTTCAACAGCTGGCAACCCTGCGGTCAGGCTGTGAATCTCATCGTGCCCCTGCCCCAAGCCCAGCGCCTACCTAGCACACAGTAGGTACTCAGTAAATATTCATTCACTTCGCTTAACCCAATGTCTCTGTTTTTAATAGAAAAACCAACGAGCCTTTCTTCCCCTGGGAGGGCGATGGGGGTGGCGGGTAGGACCTGTTACCTTTCACCTTCAGCAGATTATCCAAGACTTGTTCCTGTTCCTGAATGTGACTCTTCGCCCTGTTCAGAACCTGCCACTGAGGACAGAGACAGACAACGCTGACAGGCCGGTCTCCCCACTGCACAGCCTGGTTTTGCAGACACAGGAGCCCCTTCCCGGGTCTGAGGCCCCGGAATGCAAAATCACCATCCTTCACGTTGTTGATAAAAAGCGCAGGGAGTTTGTTCTGATGCGCAGAAGGCATGGCGTTTGTTTATTTATTTATTTATTTATTTATTTATGAGGTTTAAGTTGTAATTGGGAAATGTTTCTCACCAAAACATTCAGAAACAATTAAGCTGTGCTCAGCAGACTACTAGGGCTGCCAAAAAGGCAAACGACTGCATGTGCTACTTGACGGTGGGATAAACGGTGACTTAGAGGCGGCCCGAGTGGATGTCAGCCCCACGCGGGCAGCAGGCTCCCGGTGAACTTCCGCTCACTGGTCACAATGTGCCACCGGCTGGTTAATAGTAAATGTGCGAGTCTAACAATAGTTTTATTTGTTAAATGCATGCACTCCGGTTGATATGAAGACTTAAGTGCTCTGTCAACTTGAACTCTGAATGTCCTGTTCTGCAAGACTAGAATCACAGGCGTTCTTCCCACACTCCCATCCTCCTTCCCTCCCTCCCTCCACTCCTTCCTTCTTCCCTCCCTTCTTCCTATCTTCCTTCCTTACTCCCTCCCTCCCTCCACTCCTTCCTATCTCCCTTCCTTCCTTACTCCCTCCCTCTTTCCTATTTTCCTTCTTCCCTCCCTCCCTCCCTTGCTCTCTTCCTTCCTTTACTTTCTTCCTGCTTCAATCTGCCTTCCTTTAAAAAATATTGTATCTTTATTATCTAGGGCCCCCAAATTATTACTAAAGTCAAAACGATAACTGTGAGATTATTAAAAAACAAGAACTGCTAAATACTGCTTATTACTCTGACCACTGATGGCTGTCTGGAGCGACACACTCATCTGGTATGTATGCTAAGGGGACACAGCTGTGCTGGGCCTGGGGGCGAACAGGTAACCAGCCCTGCTTTCAGGGTGCTGACCTTCTATCAGGGGCAGCAGGCACGGAAACAACTACTGGTAACACAAACTAGCATTCAGTTAGTGGCAACAAGGGGTAGAAACAAAGGGCCGTGGGACCACACGGGAGGAGGGACTGATTCCACCTGCAGGGACAGACGGTCCCCGTAGAGCAGGGCACGGAGCACAGCCAGGCAGCAGCAGGCGCAGCACAATGCGGTGTCCACAGCTGACCGCCGACCCACCCAGGCAGGCCCCAGCCCTCAGGGGTAGGAAGAGGGGGAGGAGCATCTCCAGGCCCGCCCCCACCTGGCTCCACAGCCCCTCCACCTATAGGACCTTCCCTCCCCACGCTCAGGTCCTCCTACCTTCGAGGCTGTGAAGTCAGACTGCTGGTAGACGATTCTCCGGAGGTGACCGAAGAGCTTTGTCAGGGTGGCTCGGTGGCGAGCCTGGGACAGGCGTCGGCGGGCCACCCGAGGCTCCAGCTCCTGCGCCTGCACCTGCGCCAGGGGCCAGGGCGCCGCTTCGTGACTGGGGTCGCTGCCTTCTCCATCGGTCGCCATTAAAAGCTACAATGTAATATTATGCTTTGGGGGGGGGGCCCTAGATAATAAAGATACAATATCAAAGAAAAAGGTTGGCAGATTGAAGCAGGAAGAAAGTAAAGGGTCCCAAACCAATGAAAGCAGATACGTAGAATCAGTAGTAGATACGTAGTGAACAATGGATGACACAAAATGTGTTACTTAAATTCAACCCTAAAGACAAACCCGCTCATATTTGACTTACAGGTGAAGGGCACGGCTGCCTTACACCAGGAAGCTTCCAGAACATTGCAGGTACTCACCAGACGCTTGTGCATGGACTGCTGTGGCCAAGGAGAGAAGCTGTACCCTGAGAGCGTATTCTTTACTCTCTGATAAAAGCTGAACCGGTAGGAGGCCCACCCTCCGTGGTATTTCCTATGCCAGAACGCACCCCACCGCGACCCGGGCAGTGGTCACACAGGTGTACAGATATGAACACATAACCCATCAAGCTGTATTCTTTAGGTGCTCCTCAAGGAGAAGAGAATGCACTCTTCTACCTGCGAAAGCAAAAAGTCACGTGACGACAGAGAAGCGGGTTTAGCTCGTCCGGCTTCCAGTGGGTTCTGAAGGTGATCCTTACACCGTCCTTTGTGACCTAGACTTAGAGAATGGTTCTGGGACCGACACCTGACAGATCTAAGAGTCAGGGACCAGGTCTCTTACCTGAGGCATGGACCCCTCCATCAGGCACTCGCCCCACCACTGCTCTGCCAGCTCTTTGAACAGAGAGGCTCCGTCTTCCACACCTCTGGACCCCAATAGGTGCTCGGTGCTGGGGTTTGGGGTGAATTAGAATGGGAGGTCTTCGCTGGGCCCGTTCTCCCGTGAGCTCAGTCCTGCTGCGCAGGGACAATGCATGACCGCAGCCAGTTTTGATGTACAGTCACTTGGGGAGAGTGTTGAAAACATACCCGTCCCCTAGGGGGCAGCTTTCACTGCCACCGCTAGGGGAGAAGGTGGCGCTAGAGTCTCCTGCCCAGCAACTGGGAGCTGTGGCCTCCACCTCACCCCGCCTGCCCAGGCCTCAAAAACACTGTGCATCCATATTGTTACAAATGGTACGATTTCATTATTTTTTTATGTGAGGAGGAGAGAAAGCTTTGCCACTAAGTTCTAGGGGTGAAACCGGCCAGAGGTCAGGAACCCAATGGGGCAACGTGGGATTTGAAAACGCCTTTTAGGTCAGAAAGCAAATCTCCCACCAACAGGTGGTCTTCACCAGGGTATCGCTTTCCCTCGGGTTGCTGCCCAGACCATGGCAGGAAGCTCCTGTATGATCCATTACCAGGAGTCACACCAGCGGAGGCACATAGGGACAGCGCAGAACCCGCAGCGGCCCCTCCAGCCCGCGGGCGGGGTTATATCCAAGGCCACGCCTTCATAGTCTCCAATTTTCAGAAGCCAGTACATCTTTCATACAAAGCACCGTGAAACCGTGAGGGTTTGGAACTGCCTAGGGCAGTGGTTCTCAACCTTCCTAATGCCGCGACCCTTTAATACAGTTCCTCATGTTGTGGTGATCCCCAATTTCATTGTTACAAGTTGAACATAATTAAAGCATCGTGATTAATCACAAAAACAATATGTAATTATATGTGTTTTCCGATGGTCTTAGGTGACCCCCAAAGGGGTCGCGACCCACAGGTTGAGAACCTCCGGAAAAATGAGACCCTTCTGACCTAAGGACATAGCTTCTCTTTACTTATTTAAATGTAAGGGAGATGAATGCACCTGGACACCAGGGACCTTAAGCCAATGAACGGAGGGGAAAATACCGGGGACCTCCCAGAATCTCGGATTCTCTAAGTCTAGAAATTCTATTACCAAAGGCCTCCGGGCTGTGGGACATCTGGAACGCTCCCAGTGCCAATGACGATAATTTGGGTTTCTTCCAGGCTTCTACCCAAAGACATTCCTAAAATATCTAGATGGCTGCGTGGCCAGTTTCAGGCACGGGATAAGGGTGCAGCCCTCGGCCTCTCACATAGGGGGCAGACCATCCCATTACTTGCTCCCCCTGGGGGCAGCTTTCACAGCCACGGCTAGGGGAGAAGGTGGCGCTAGAGCATCCTGCCCAGCAACTGGGACCTGTGACCTTCGCCTCACCCTGCCTGCCCCAGACTCCCGGTGTCAGGAGCTGGCAGACACCGGGGTTGGGGTGGGGGAGGGGGTGGGGCCCACCACAAGGAAGATGGAAGAAGGTCCTTCCACTCTGCTTTAAGGGAGAATCAAGCCAAGGAGGTGTGGAGCGTGACTAAACCTTGTGCAGTTTTAAATATTCTGCTCCTAAATGCTGCCTCCTGCTCTCCACGAGGAATGATTTGCTATGAATTCCCCATGAGACATTCTTTTCAAGTTATCTTTATTAACATGCACTGTGGACCTGACTGGCGCTTAAATTGCTATTTTTTTGAGAGCTCTCCGTTGCAGTAACACAGTTGGATCTGTCCCTTCTGTGTGAAGGCATGGATCTGCCGGGACAAGTGCCACAGGAGTCACAGTCTAGGATGGGGGAGGGGAGGGCAGGACCTTTTTGCCTCATTCCAAGGCTGGCTTTTTGCTAGCACTGGGGGAACTAGCTCTAAAAACGAAATCAGGAAATCATCTTTTATTTAAAAACAAGAGACAGCACAAACAAACCTTTCCCCCAAGAAAGCTCTGTACAGATGCGAAGAGTGTTCAGGACACCGCTCCCAACAGTATAAGGAATTAGAAAAGCTAAAGGGTATAGTCTGAGGCTGCATTCCCAGGGCCTGGAAATCTGCATTGTAATAGTCTGGGAAACTCAGAATCTCCCTTTTCCCTTCCCCTCACTACCGACAAAAGAAACGTCTGCTCTCCAGCCCAGCAACCTCTGTTCCTCCCACCTAGAATGCCCCACCCCGGTATCAGTAAGGTGCTTAGGATCTGTGTATGCAGCAGGCAAGGTGTCCCTCCCAGGGTGCGTACCATGTGTACCATATGGCGATCCACATGTGATTAATGCGAACACTCCCTTCCCCAGCTCCTTCTCCCACACTAAAACCACGAAGAGTTCTGTGGCCTGGACAGCCAAGACCATACCACCCAGGCCTGGGGATGAGCAGAGGCCTGGGGTGAGAGAGCTAAAGGAAACGGAAGATCAAGAGACAACCATGGGGACAGGGAATAACCGCTAGTCCCACCCTAACCCCGAAGGCCTCTCTGGATCTTAACAATTTACAGTCTCATGAATTCAGTTCTTGGCACTGTTCACAATAAGAGGCACACCTCTGAGAAGCTTAAAGAGCCTTTGACAGTGATGCTGCCCAATTGCCACATAAGAGGGGTGGGGCGGAATTAGACAAGGGGACGAACCTGGATATTCTGTTCTGACTCAGAAAACTGAGCAGGTTTGGGCATCTAAAAGGTGTGCGAATCGAGGGAACTCAGTATAGATGTAGTATATACCCACTACATGCCATATTTCTGTTCATTCTCATCTATAAACCAAAGCACACCTTCATTACCAAATGCATTCCTATTAAAACACCTGCTTAGAGCTGACTTACACACACACACACACACACACACACACACACAATCCCTAGACTAAATTTAAGAAAATAAGGTTCAGAGAAACTTTCCACCACTTTTAAGCATTCAAGTGTGATCCATTCAAACCTTAGGCACACCTATCAGATCACATAAAAAAAAAAAAAAGTCCAGTCATTGTCAGAAATATATATAGGTTGTCAAAATGACATATACAAACATTTGTATTGAAGTCTGGCCCCAGACCTAAATGTTCACCTGTTTAGATAGATGCACCGGCTTGACACAAGGCAAAGTGCACCTTTCTGGAGGTGGGTGGGTGTGATTGCCTCAGCACGTAATCGATACTCACTCTTGGAGCGATGGGCACCTGTGCACACGACGTCCCCACTCTCTGCACATGCAGGAGGCCACGGGAAGCCCTGATGGCAGTGACAGCGATGACAGCGACCGCGGGCCTTGTGCCAGCCAGAGTGGGGACCATGGCTTCTGCCCTGGCCAAAAAACAGACCCAGCATCTAGGCACGGACCAATCAGGGCATGTCCCCAGCACCCACAGCCAATGGGGATGCGCTGTGGCGGGCCAATGAGGTGCGGGCAGCGGAAGAAACAATGTAACTTGGGGGTCCCAAGGCACACAAAAAGGCGGGCTGGATTGACCTTCTCACCTTGTCAGGTGGCGACTTCTTTTCGAGAGGAGCGAATGGGACAGGAAGCGAAACCCATGTCACCTCGGTAACCTCATAGGCTCTGTATGCGCCCCCAGAGGACTCCATGGATGTCCCCCAATGGATGTTCCGCTCACCTGCCACTGAGCCCAGTTGCAGCATCCCTCAAACGGGGCTATGCCACGTACCTTATAGGGTTATCCAGAAGCTTAGAGAAGGCACCTGGAATTAAAGGCTCCTGGGCACAGGCTTTGGGTCTCAGGAGAAAAGAGGAAAACGTGGATGTCATGGAAACTGAGAGATGCATAAACAACGATGGGACAGGGGAAGTATAAAAGTATAAAAGGTGAGCCCTAGCCAGTTTGGCTCAGTGGATAGAGCGTCAGCCTGCGGACTGAAGGGTCCCAGGTTCGATTCCCGCCAAGGGTGCATGCCTGGATTTCGGGCTCGATACCCAGTTGGGGGGCGTGCAGGTGGCAGCAGATCAATTATTCTCTCTCATACTTGATGTTTCTCTCTCTCCCTCTTCCTTCCTCTCTGAAATCAATAAAGAAATATATTTTAAATAAATAAATAAATAAAAGGCGAAAGATTATGTGATCTGAAGAGAAATCAGAGTATACTGATGTTTTAAGTATGGGAAGAAGAAAAGGGAATGACTAGTAAAAGAAGTTGCATGAACGAGACCTTTAAAAGCTGTCACCCTTTGGGACAGTAGGAAGCAGGTATTCTTCCAATTTCCCCTTCACTGTAAAATATACTCTTGCATATAGGTGTCTTTTTGCTTGAAGCCCAGCACCCCTAAGTATGTCATGATGGTGACGAT